ACTCGCCAAAATTGATTGGAATCCAACATTTTAGCAACATTCTAGCATGTCAAATTCTGTTAGAATCCAACAATTTAGCAACATTCTAACACCTCAAATTCTATTGGAATCCAACATTTTAGAAACATTCTAACACGTTAAAATTGATTGGAATCCAACATTTTTGCAACATTCTAACACGTCAAATTCTATTGGAATCCAACATTTTAGAAACATTCTAACACGTTAAAATTGATTGGAATCCAACATTTTTGCAACATTCTAACACGTCAAATTCTATTGGAATCCAACATTTTAGAAACATTCTAACATGTCAAAATGAACTGGAATCCAACATTTTAGCAACATTCTAACACATCAAATTCTATTGGAATCCAGCATTTTATCAACATTCTACCATGTCAAATTCTATTGGAATCCAGCATTTTATCAACATTCTACCATGTCAAATTCTATTGGAATCCAGCATTTTATCAACATTCTACCATGTCAAATTCTATTGGAATCCAGCATTTTATCAACATTCTACCATGTCAAATTCTATTGGAATCCAGCATTTTATCAACATTCTACCATGTCAAATTCTATTGGAATCCAGCATTTTATCAACATTCTACCATGTCAAATTCTATTGGAATCCAACATTTTAGAAACATTCTAACACATCAAATTCTATTGGAATCCAGCATTTTATCAACATTCTACCATGTCAAATTCTATTGGAATCCAACATTTTAGCAACATTCTAACACATCAAATTCTATTGGAATCCAGCATTTTATCAACATTCTACCATGTCAAATTCTATTGGAATCCAACATTTTAGAAACATTCTAACACGTTAAAATTTATTGGAATCCAACATTTTTGCAACATTCTAACACGTCAAATTTGATTGGAATCCAGTGTGAGTCATGCAGAGATCCTTAAGCTTAATACTCATTTATATTACCCTCTCAGCTCTTCATGATGCATGAACCAAACACAAACATGTAAATAAATCTTTGTAGGTTTGTGTGGCAGCTGAATGAAACCACCAGGAGGAGCAAAGCAGGCTTTCTGGGGAGGGTACGGCATTGTCCGTTATCGCTTTAGGAAGCTGTCTGTCTCTAGAGACCCAGGTGTGAAGATCGTAATTATCATCCTCTCTGTGCGCTCTCACAGTTTCATGGACTGTATGAAACAGCAGGGAGCTTTAGTGCCTCTATATAGAAAAAAATATGAAGTTGAAGCCAAAAGAGTCCAACCCAGCCTATTGTGGTTCCTCCTCCAATGTAAGTCTGAGATGTTATTAATCTGCCAGCGAACACCACTAATGACATGGCATTAAATTTGATACCTTCTAGCATTGAAAGAGCTCTCAAATGTGCTGAAACGTGATATTTTACAACTATTAACTATCATGTTTTGTGCTGTGATTGAATAGTAGCTCATGAAATAGTTTTTTATAATCTACTGTTCAATCATTTGAGGTCTGTAAGATTTTTTTATGTTTTTGAAAGAAGTCTCTTCTATGGAAGTCCTAAGAGGCCATGGATTATTAATATTTTTCTTGTTTTCTCGTGATCACGACATAACAAAAGTTGTTTTCTCATTATCACGACTTAATTTTCTCGTGATCACAACATAACGAAAGTTGTTTTCTCGTTATCACGACTTAATTTTCTCGACTTAAATTTTGCTTCGCTTAGTAATAATGTCTACAATACATAAATAAAGGCTGATCAATCACTGTTTATATTTCCAGAGACAGTACGCTAAACATTTTGTTTGTGTAATTAACATGTTTAAATGGTCAAAGCAACACCGCAAACACAGGCAGAACACCTTCAGAAGGATGCAGAGAACTATTCTAAAATCTTTTAGAGCTGCTAAAAGATTACAACACTGTAGAATATCACTGAATTAAATAAGCCTATACACTTTACATATAAATCACATTTCTTATCAATATACGTTTAATGATTAACAATAAAGATTAAAAATAAGAAAAAGAGGCACATTACAAATAAGTCGTTGAAGCGCGTCCTACTGTAGATAAACACAACATCCCCGCTTAACTAACAATCATGTACCTCAAAGATGCAAAAATAAAGATATAGGTGCAAACAGAATACAGTGACGTCAACCTTGGTTTTAATAAGCAGTTATTTTATGACACAGAACGCGTTGGTGAAACTCATGCATCTAGCAAGAACTTAATACACAAAATAGTCATATTGATTCAAGCATTTAACATTTATGAATGAATTAAATGTCAGTAATGGTCAACCTAGGTTTTAATAAGAAGTTAGTTTATGACACGGAACGCTAATGCAGTGGTGAAACTGTGAGTCGTGCATCTAGCAAGAACTTAACACACAAAATAATCATATTGATTCAAGCATTTAACATTTATGAATTAATTAAATGTCAGTAATGAACAATACTGCACAAATTATAGCGATCACGAAGAAGGTCCTTATTCTGTCCCAAACGCGTACAGTAAAGTGGATATACAGTAACACCCCATCAGTTATATTCAGTTCTATACTGCCACCTGTTGGTGCAGTTGTGTAACTTGAAGAACAACTTTTGTTATGCCGAGATCACGAGAAAATTAAGTTGTGTCACCTTTGATTAATTTAATGCATCCTTGCAAAATAAAAGTATTAATTCTATAATATATAAATTATATTAAAATTATATATATAATTATTATATATATATATATATAAACTTTAGTTGTAGTTATAAAGTGTAGTTGTATGTTCTTTTAGAATTTATTTGAATGCAGCTAAAAGGCGCTGCAAAGCTTCAAGCAAAGAAGTAATGTCTGATTTCATGAATATAAATCCTTTTCATTGATGCAAGTTCAGTCTCCTTTTTTTTTCATAAAAATGCACTAACTAATGGAAAGACTCCATTAGTTTGATATATCAGATTTGACAGTAGTTCAGATCGCTTAAGGTATCATCAGTTCCTCTAAACCAGAGATTTGTCTATAAAGTATCAGTGCACTTAAGTCTTAAAGTGTCTGAATATTATTACATATAATTGCAAAACATCAAAGCAAGTGTTATTTGTTGTATTTCTCTCTGTAGCTGTGGAAGTCCAGTGCTGGAACACATTTGGGAGGCTGATTTGGAGGCTTGTCATCTGCTCTTGAAAGGCCTCGATCAGCGTACATCCAGCATCTCCGAAACTGAGGATCTGCCCTCCGTCCCTGGATCGGCTTCCGATGTCCTGCTGTTCAGTAAAGAGGAAGCGGACTGCGCCATGTTGACCGCTCTAGGGGGCCGCTGGTGTCCCGAGGCCGACCTCCAACACTCAGAGTTCACTAAGGTAAAGCCAACACATTAAATATCACCAAAATTAACCCCAAATTTACTTTAATACATGTTCATGGTCTAAAAATGTTCGTCTTTCATTTTTAATTTTTCGACTGAATGCATAGGACACTTAGGAAGTATTGAGTAGAATTAACCCTGTAAAGCCTGAAATGAAATAATCTGTTTGAAAATGGAAGTTTTATTTCACCTTTAGACAAAATCTAAAAAGATCTGTTGTTTGTTGAGTATCATAATTAATACATCAGGCCTCTATGGCTCATATAGTATCATAATGTGAGAATATGAAGGACAAAAAACTAAATTTCAAAGGTCCAAACTGACCAAAAATATGCAATTTGGACAAAAAGTGATGAAATTCTGATGCTTGTAATGTGAATCAGTGAGATCTTTACATAAAGATAACTTACATAAAATTATATAAATATCAGTCGTCATTCTATATCTCCAATTAGTAAGATGATATTTAAATGCTTAGTGCATGATCAAAACATAATGCAATGCAATCCAATGCTGATTGAGAGATGAACAAATAAATGTTGCTCAAAAGATATGAGATGTTCTGGAGGCTTGTGAAGATCATTCCTCCGCTGAGGAACAGTGAAAGTAAAGCTTCTGGAAACAAGCGCTCCTCAAAAGCCTGATGATCAATGGTACTTGATAAAAAACGTGATACTTTTTGTTAGTGTAATAATATGCATATTTTATATACTTTTGACAGTTTTACATATATGTGTGTGTGTCATCTTTGACCGATTTGAACCTGATGAGTACAGCACTGATGAGTCTCACACTGGAATACATCTTGTGCTTTATGAAAGACTCACGAAATGAGAAACTAAAAATAAAAACCCTGTTCCTTCGGCTCCCTCCGTTTCCATAAAAACCATCTATTTGCTGAATGACTCTAATTTCCACTCTGTTCTTCTTCCTTCGCTGCCCTTCTTGTTCAGAACTTTCTCTAAGTCGTTCTAATATCTTCCAGCTCAGCAGGGCTCTGTTGTCTCTGTGTCTTCTCTCTCTTTGTGTCTTTTGTCTGTTGAAGATCAGCCACTCTTCCTAACACTCCTGCAGGACTCTGAAGGTGAGGTGATGCTGTTTTCCTCTTCTCTCTCATCTCCCACTCGCTGCTCTTCATCTCTCCGGTTTGATCCTCATTAAATCTGTTCTCGCATAGCCTACACAGCACATTATTTATGCTATATATGTGTCATATTTGTCTAACAAACCTAAACAATGTGAATATAATAAAAGCAGTTTATTATTATTATTATTATTAAATAATTTATAATTATATATGTAAGTGCAAGTGTGTTCGAATAGCATAAATAATTACAGTATAGTATAGTATAATTATAGTAAATTATAGTTAGTAGTACTTATAATAATAATAATAGATATATATAATTATTTTGTTATATTATATTAATAATAATAATTATTAGTAGTATTAATAGTATTTATGCTATTTGACACATTTGCACATGTATGTATTATAGTAAATGCTATTAAATACTAAACACTAATATAATTAAATAATAATAGTATCTATTAACTATACTATTACTAACTAATACTATTCTAATATCTAGAAAATAGATATTTTTAACAATATTTACTTTAATTTACTAATATACAGTATATATATATATATATATAATGATAATATTGCTTTAGCAATAAACCATTGACTTTTTGACAAGCTAAATATGATTTTAAGCCAGGTCAGAATCTAATAAAAGAGGCAGTGGTCTCGGCCCAACCATGGGCACTTTAATATTGCTTTAAAACAGGAGATGATAATTAGTATTATGTCATTTAAATCTAAATCCATGAGACATGAAGCTGTAATCAGTTTTTTCTGAGGTCGGCTTCCATCAGCTGGAGTTAAACTAATAGATCTGCCACTGTGTGCTAATCATTGTCTGCTTTAGCACACAACTCCTGAATGCAATCATTACCCACACAGATGGGCCGAACCCGTTCAGTTATTGTGCTTCTTGTCAGCCGTAATGACGAGTTATTGCACACTTCCCGTAATGTCAGTGCGCTGAGTGCTTTTTAATAATAGATGAGGTTTATAGTTTTGTTTTAATCTTCAGCTAAAGTGACTCATTGGTCCTCCTGTGTCTTGCAGAAATTAGAGGAGTTTCTCTTCTGTTTGGAGGACGCGTCTCCTGAGGTGAGCGACGGCTGCTGTGTTTACAGGAATCCGATGTTAAAAATGTGTCTTTAAAGTTCAGATGAAAAAAAAAGAAGTTCTCTCATCATTTACATTTCGATCCTATCACACAATGTCATCATTTGACTTAAGAATATACTTGAAGTGTGGGCTTTGTTTATTGTACATCTTGTCATTCTTTGACCGTGACAACGCCTTTTTTATTCACTTTTGTGAGAGAAAGAAAATCATGTGCTCGGAATAACATTAGAGAAAGTAAATGACGAGTTTATTGTCTTTATCTCTGATCTTACAACAGTCATTTTAACCCCGTCATAAAATGGACTGCATTATGACAGAATTAAAGCAGTTCTATTTTAATATCATTTATATGATATTATAGTTTTTGTTAATATTTTGAATCAGATTTTATTTTGATATTTTCTGTTTAATTTTAAAGGTTTTTGAAATTTTGTTGTGTGTTTTTGTCTTTTTTTTATATTACTATTTATTTGTATTTCAGATTATTATTATTTTTTTTAATTTCCAGTTCATAATTTTAGTGCTTTAACTTATTTTAGTCATTTACCAAGGCATCATTTCTAATGGTTTTTTAATATAATTTTGTAATGTGCTTTTAACATTTTTATTAGTATTAGTATTTTTTTATATTACTATTTTTGCTTAATTTGTATTCATTCTTTTTTATTTTACTATTTAGGTTTCATTTATTTTTATTTCGGCTTTAGTTTTTATTTATTTCCAGTTCGTAATTTTAGTACTTCAACTTATTTCAGTTAATTGCCAAGGCATCATTTCTAATTTTGTTTAGTTTAATTTTTTATAATTTTGCTATGTGCTTTTAACATTTTTTTTATATATTACTATGTATATTTCATTTATTTTTATTAATTTGACTATTTAGGTTTAATTTAATTTTTTTTCTTATTTTGTTTTAATTTATTTTTACTTAAGTTTTAGTTTTAGTTCTGTTTTAATGTTTTCAGTTTATGTTTTTAATCTGACAATTTTATTTTACTTCAGCTTTAATTCAATTAACAAAAATGTTTTTAGTATCTGTATAGTTTGTATTAATTTGTATTTATTAGTTTTAGTTTATCTTAGTTTTATTAGTTATTAATTATTATGTATTAGTTTTAGTACTTAAAGTTAAACTAAACAAAAATGAGGAATGTTCCCTCGGGCAACAAGCTAAAAAAAAAAAAATATATATATTATATTATGTGAGTTAACATTTATTTTATTTCAAGTAATGATATAAATAATGGTTTTATGTTGTTTTAGTTTAGTTTTAGCTAACTATAATGACCTTGAGTTAATGCAGGTCGGTCTCACAATCAGCATTAGAAAGCAACATGCTGGTTGATGGCTTTTGCATAATACCTACAGCATTGCATTGTGGGAAATGGACAAATCAAGCCTGTAGTGGGGTTTGCATGAGCAGGGATTTTAATTAAAGCCACCCTGACCTCTCCGTCAATACTTGAACTTCAGCACCTGACTGTGTGAACAATGTTCAATCGATAACCAGTCCATCAATCCATCCATTCAGTGCAGCGTTTGTGTCAGCAGTGCCTCCTCAAAGCGAGACCAGAGTTACAGCAGACATAAACATTTAAAAATTACAGTCTTTCTGAACCAGGAACCAGAATAACAGACCAAAACTATCGATGAGTGCTTAGAGACGTCACTGACACAAGTAGCAAATCAATTACAAATACCAATAGGAATTTCAATAGGAAATATCTCTCACAGGAAAGAACTTTGTTTGTCAATCCATTGCTATCAGTCTGATATAGTTTGACTGGTTCTTTAATGAACTTTAACAGATAAGGTAGAGGTCAGTATTGTGTCTGGACCAAGAAAAAGCCTTTGTTACAGCAGTAGAGAATGAATAATATAGTCTCTTCACACATTTTAGGTCTTTTTAGTGGTTTATGTTTTATAGCAAAATCTTAAAGTATCAGATATTATTGGAAATGATCATCAGTTCTTATTTTAAATGCTCTTTATAGACAGCAACTTGAATCACAATTGATTCCAGTGGAGTTTGATGGATTGGTCCACATTTTTGTATTAATTACATCTATTATAAGATGTATATATGTATTGTTTTCATTTTAATTTGTAGTCTTTTTTTGTCTTTTTTGTTCTGTGTTTTAGACATTTTCATTTGATTTTAATATATTTTATTTAGGTTTAATTTATTTTTATTTCAGTTTTAGTAATTTTAGTGCTACAACTCAAGCTTATTTCAGTTAGTTGCCAAGGCAACATTTCTAATTTTTTTACATCTAATATTTGTATTTTATTTTATTTCAGCTTTATTTCAAGAAACAGAATTTTTAAATAGTTTTAGTTTTAGTTAATGATAACCCAGATGGTGCCATTAGATGTTGTCTAGGTAGGGAGAGTTTTATATTCTCCATTTCTTAAGCTTTTATAGTCATACTTATTGATATACTATTATAGTTTTTAGTAATATTTTGAATGAGCTTTTTTATATTTTCAGTTTTCATTTTAATTTTAGTTGAATTTTTAGTAATTTTTGTTATGTGCTTTTGATATTTTTATTAGTTGTTTTAATATTACGGAACTATTTATATCCAATTTATATTTATTCTTTTTATTTTACTATTTATGTTTAATTTTTTTTTTTCAGTTTTAGTTTTAGTTCAGATTTTAGCTCAGTATGTTATCAGTTTATGTTTTTCATCTACTTATTTATATTTTATTTTATTTCAGCTTTATTTCAATTAACAAAAATGTTTTTAATTGGTTTAGTTAAATCTAGATTGTTGTCTAGGTAGAGGGCTCAGTAGGTTTTAGGACTTTAGGTTTTATATTCTCCTTTTCTTAAGCTTCTATATTCATAATTATACTATTATAGGTTCAGTTTTTATGTTAGTTTAATGTTTAGTAATTTTGTCATTTTTATTATTATTATTATAATTTTAAATATTACTATTTTGGTTTCATTTATTTTTATTTCAGTTTTAGTTTAATTTACATTTGCACGTTTTTCATCGTATATTTATATTTTATTTGATTTTAACTTCCTTTCATTTAACAAAAAATGTTTTTTAATAGTTTTAGCTCTAGTTAATGATAATAACCCGGATGGTGCCGTAAGATGTTGTCTAAGGCTCAAACCTCACTTTAAATAGCCTGCAAATGTCTTCTTAAGTGGGAACAGTGCATTTGATACGATCAGATTTATACTAATCTTCCCTTTGTGAAGGATTTTTGTAGTAATATGCCTCTCATGATTATCACAAAGGTACAGTTTTTGCAGTCTATATGCAGACTGCGTCCTTTTAAACGCAATAAAGCGATCGCGGTGACCTTTAAGAACATACTGTGATTATCGGTAGGCGTGATTATCATTACGCCTCAATAGCTGTATCGCTCCGGCCGTTTGGTGCGGCTGTTTTTCCCGAATGTGTCCCTGGAGACTCCAGCCTCATTCAAAAGTGTTTTAATTCACCCGCAGTGTGATGTTAGCGTCTATAAAAGGTGTTTCATTAGCTGGTGTGGGGGGTCTAAGAATAGACCGCAGACCTCATTAAAGCGACACAAGGCCGTTCCTGAGAGAAACGAGCGGACCGGAGTCAGTCGACCACCTCAAGATGCTCTCTGACTCAGAAAAACAGTGAATCACGCTTTGATGGAATTGGGACGGAGCCGACGGACCTGTCCCACTTACCTGGCTGGCGCTAAACTGTTGGGTGAAGTCATTAGCACGCCGCGGAGGAACACGCTGTCGGTTCAGGACTCAGATGAGAGGAAGAGGAGCCGACAGCCACGCTCACGTCTGACCTCACAGTCACTGGCGGATTAACGTCATCATTTATACTTCTCTGCTTTAATATTTGCAAATTGAGATTATGGATTGTTTCACTGTTTTCATGAATGACCCAGTTAACACACGCTAGTATATTTAGCTTTAATTTTAGTACTTCAATAGAAACTAGTTGCAATGTTTTTCAAGTATTTAAGTTTTTAATCTAATATCTATATTTTATTTCATGTTAGCTTTCAGCTAACAATGGCATTTCAATTTAAATGATTTTAATAGTTTTAGTTAAGGATACAAATCAGTTCTGAAATCTCATTAGTCAATGGAATTTTGTTTCCAATTTTGCTTTCAGAAATCCAGTTTGCTGTGTTCCAACTTGATTTTAAACTAACCTGGCTCTTTCTACACCCTTAAAACACTTCTTATATTTGTATAATTTTAATCTCCATCAGAGCTTTTTCTAGCATATGAAAAGCAGAAAGAACAGATTCACACATATTTAAAATCATGAATGCTGTGAAAACATCTGCTGAATGTTGTTTTAACTTCTGACTGTTTTCCATCCATGTATTTTAGTGGCATATTGCATATTGCTGTAAAAATGACACACATTTTGGTGCCGGATGTGTGCAAATAACCATTTTACCAGCATATTAGCGCCATACTTGAGCAGCTAGAGATGTGTGTGAGCAGCAGTGGGTGTTTTGCGGGTTTAATGGGTGTGTTTTTGTGTCTCAGGATCTGTGTGAAGAGACGACAGAGCTGACGGAGCACTGTGAACTCATCAGTGAGCGACTGCATTACCTGGAAGACCAGCTTCAGACCGCCATAGACCACCACGACAAGGACCTCACTCATATCCTTACAGAGCTTTGTGTGTGTGCATGTACTGTTCATTAGTTGTTCTTTTTAAGTTGAATTACTATTAATGTGTTCATATTTTGTGGTAGGAGATTGTTCAAATCACTAACACTATTACAACGTAACAATTTTGACCTGGTGGACAATAAAACATTAAAGAATCCCATAATTCCAAAATCAAACACTTAGTGACTATTTTAACTTGCCACATAGTAACCATACACAATGCCATAGCAACCACCAAGAACACCCTAGCAACCACCTGTAACGCCCTAGATCCACCAAGAACAATCTAGCAATGTCCTAGCAACCACCCAGAACACCCTAGTATGTAAATGCCTTAGTAACCACCCAGAAAGCCTTAGCAACTACCCAGAATGCCCAAGCAATGCCCTAGCAACGACCTAGAACAATCCTTGCAGCGCCATAGGAACCACCCAGAACACCCTAGCAGCAACCCAAAACACCCTACCAATGCCCTAGAAACCACCCAGAACACCCTGCAACAAACTAGTACACCCTAACAGTTGCCAACTAGCAACAACCTAGAGCACTCTAGCAATGTCCTAGCAATCATCTAGAATGCCTTAGCAACCACCCAGAATGCCTTAGCAATGTCCTGGCAGCCACCCAGGACTCCCTAGCAACCACTCAGAATGCCCTAGCAACCACCCTGAATGCCCTAGCAATTCCAGAGCAAACACCCCAAATACCATAGCAATGCAACACCCTAGCGACCACCCAGAACACCATAGCAACCACCCTGAATGCTCTAGCAATGTCAGAGCAACCACCCAAATCACGCTAGTAACGTAACACCCTCAAAACCACCTAGAGTGCCTTAGCAACCACCCACAACACGCTTGCAATGCCCTAGCAACCACCCAGAAGACCCTACCAACCTCCCAGAACACCCTAGCAATGCAACACCCTAGAAACCACCCAGAGCGCCTTAGCAACCACCCAGAACATCCTAGCAATGCCCTAGCAAACATCGATATCACCCTAGCAATGCAACACCCTAGAAACCACCCAGAGCGCCTTAGCAACCACCCAAAACATCCTAGCAATGCCCTAGCAACCATCCAGATGACCCTAGTAACGCAACACCTTAGAAACCACCCAGAATATCCTCGCAATGCCCTAACAACCACCCAAAACACTTTAGAAGCTACACAGAACAACCTAGCATCACAGCGGTGACTCTTGCATGGCCAGATGCCACACTTGTCTTCAGAATATCTAGTTTTAGTCAGTTATTCTGAACTTATTATGAGTTTGTCTCTAATGGAAGTCCTTAGGGTTTCTTCAGGTCACTCTGATTGGTTGTTAGACTGGAATGAAATGATCTGTGCGCTCCGTTCTCATGTTCTCGGTCGGGCCTTATAAAAATCCATGAGTGGAGAGGAAATGACTCATCAGCTCTTCATCATTCTGCTGTCACATACAGCCACAGGAACACGTCTCACGCTGATCAGAGCCACTAATGTAATGTGCCCATCGCTTTAACCCTCCAAAAGAGCTCCTTCATGGAAAACCATCTCATTTGACAGCACACGATGCTCTCTTCCGGACAGGACTTAAGGATAAGACTGAACGGATCACTGGCCATTTCTTTTTTCTTTTTGAGTGATATTTAATATGAGGGATGGGATTTTAGTTATTAGAGAAATTCAGAGCTCAGCAAAGGTTGAAAGGAGGCGACAGACAGAGAAAAGAGAATTGGAGACAGACTAGCCAGCCCGTCACTCTGAAGTGAGATTAAAGCAGTGAGATGAAGGGAAAGGTTATGACATAGTGCTCTGTCATCGCTCTGACATCTTCATATTTCTGGCCACCATGTGTGCCGAGCGGATCCGTGCTTTTGCATTGACTGAGAGGAAACGGTATAGATGAGATTGATTCGAACGTCCGATCTTGTTCTGCTTCATTCCATCCAACTTTGTTTGACTTTATTCCTTTATAGCGGTAGTTCTCACGTGGTTTTGCTTCAGGATCAAGGTTTTACATTAGACATCGAGGAGCACTAATTTTGATTATTTCATGCTGTTTACAAAAATTGTGAACCAATGCTTTGTGTGATTTATTCCCGTATTTGAATGTTTTGTTTATTATATGCCGAGCGGATCCGTGCTTTTGCATTGACTGAGAGGAAACGGTATAGATGAGATTGATTCGAACGTCCGATCTTGTTCTGCTTCATTCCATCCAACTTTGTTTGACTTTATTCCTTTATAGCGGTAGTTCTCACGTGGTTTTGCTTCAGGATCAAGGTTTTACATTAGACATCGAGGAGCACTAATTTTGATTATTTCATGCTGTTTACAAAAATTGTGAACCAATGCTTTGTGTGATTTATTCCCGTATTTGAATTTTTTGTTTATTATATATATATATATATAATTATAAATATATATATTTTTTTTTTTTTACATTTTATTATTATTTAAATGTGATTATTTGTAAAATGTATAATTTATAATTATTTATTATAAGTAATACATTATGATAATGTATTAATTAATTATAAAAAATATATAAGGAATATCTCACATTATCTTTTTATTACTATATATATACTGTGTGTATATAATGGCAAATTTGTGGCCCATTAATTAAAAACCACTGCTTTATGTGAATGAAGTGCTGCATTGACCAACCGCTTAATGAAAAATGCCATCATGCTAATGATTTTTTAGCTCCATAATGTCTCGCTCTGTTGAAAACACAAATCAAACCTTGACAGAATAATATGTCAGAATCATATGCTCAGATATGCAAAATATTAATCAGCCAAACAATCTTATGTAATCTTGTTCGTTTACATCTTTTGATGTAGTTTGATCGATCAGCACAAGTATGAGGGGTAAATGAAGCCTCCTGCAGTGTCTCGTCTCATAGACTTTCATTATACGTGCATGAGGTTTGGTTTTCATGTAGATGACAAAAATAGTAATTAAACCCACAGTAACTTGAGCAACACATAAAGCTGGTTTGATTACACTGGTTAAGCAGATAGATGAGCAAATAAACACATAATAAGCCGAGGTTTGTGCCTGAGGAATGTCATTAGATCTGTCCGTTTAGCCAGAGGGAGATCTTACCGATCCTATATTTCATGAAGTGCTCTTTAACGGCTGCTTAATTATGAATGGGGACAATCTGGGGCCATTTGGAGAGCAAAACGTGCCCGGCAGGCCCCATCTGCCACAAGAGGCGTCTCTTTGATTCGCCACTTATACCGGACACTTGGTCCCACTGGGACGAGTTAAACTATCCAGCGCTGATGAGGGTAGAGCCCGTTCTCATGAAACCCTTGAATTATTTAGGTGAAATTGCTTGAACTGAACGGGGTCCGTTGGGGAGATGAACTGAGCCTTTGAATAATAAAGGGCCGTCTGGGGGAGGAGACGACGGGCGTGATCGTATAATTGTGAAATCTGTGTCAGGTGGTCGGGCCAAACATAATGAGAGTCTTTTTAAGATGGGTTGTTCTGGTATGTGGTTAGTGGAACAGGAGAATGATGTGAACTGCGTCCAAAAGTTTTGCGTCACACCAGCTAATGGTGGGTGAATTGAAAAAAAAATTAAAGTATTATTATTATATTTTATAAATTATTTTAATAATAATAATGCATGGCTGCTAAGAATTTTATATTATTTTTTTAATCAAAATAATTTGATTAT